CGCCAGTATTTCTAGTGCCGCATTAATTCTATCAATTTCAGGTTTGCTTATTAATCCGCTTTTGAATTCAATAGTATTTAGATTAAGTGAATCGGACTTACACGGGGGCAATCAATAATATCCCGTTTACCTTTATATCACGTCACTTCTTTGTAGCAACAGATTCGCGGCTAGAGTAGGATTTTCCAATGATAACCACTCGATTAATAGTAACAAATTGTTTCTATTTTCACAACAAAGAAATTTATCTCACTGTTTGTTTGAGATTTCGTTTTTACGACAATGTGTGTGTGTGTGTGTGTGTGTGTGTGTGTGTGTGTGTGTGTGTGTGTGTGTGTGTGTGTATGTGAATGCCTCCAAAACATCTTTTTTTTTTATTTGATTTTGCCTCAAAATTGTGTTAGTTTTATTTGATTAGATTGAGTGAATTCTGTAATATGATTTTGTATGAAAAAATGTTCCGACTTCCTTGTAACTCTTTGAAATGTTCACTCAAAATGATTGAGTGACGGAAGTAAATTTGTCAGTAAAATTGAATGAAATGTGTTTATATGGTGAACGATATAATAAAGTTCAAAAAAAAAAATCGTTTTTTTTTTTTTTGTTAAGCTTAAAATATTTTTCTTCATAAAATATTTTCAAATAACGACTTTGTTCGTTTTATATATATAGTTTAATTTTTGATAATTTCTTTATATTAGCATTAGGATAGAAAAGAAAAAGAGCAACAGGAAAAAATAGCGATAGGAATAAATATGATGGATTGATTTCTTCATTCTTAAAACTGTAAAATACTTTTAATGTTATGTATTGCAATTCTTTCTTTTTTACTCATATACTGAATGTTATAGGAATTATTTTTCTGCTATATATTGTAAAAAAAAAATTTAGATGTAATTGTTTATGGAAATATGAACTTTTCTTTGTGATAATTTTAATATCTAAATATTAATTCCTTATATTATGCATTTAAATATAGGAATTATTGATTTTTTTTTTGACATCTGTTATATAAATTTAAGTGAAATTATTTAAAGAAATATAAACATATCTTTATGCCAATTTTTTTGAAAAAAAAAAAAGAAAGAAAGAAAATTGTTTAATGCAATTTAAAAAACAAAATTTTCAGGATGAGTTTAACAGTACAACAAATAGCATTGTATACAGTTTGCATTCCTGTAATTTTTGCTCTGTGTATTTTGGCAGCTTTTTGTAATATATTGGTATTGTTAACACGAATTAAAATTAAAAATCGAAGTGGAGCCTTGGAATTAACATTTTCCTTGGCCGTATCAGATATTTGGACATCAATCGTTGTTGTTGCATCATTATTTCTCAATTCATATATGCCTGTTGTTTTGGGTATAAATTACTCATCCGTATGTTTCTCACTTACTTTAGAGGTAATAAAATATTTTGCATTTTATTTTATTTAATTTCAGAAAAAGAAAAAATCTGTAAAATACTTTTTTTTGAAAAAAAAATTGTTCAGTATTTCAAATATGCAAAAAAAAATTTCTTTTGATAATTTATGAGAATAAGATAAAAATTTATCGTTTTTTAATTTACCATTCTTTATATAACATAATTTTATACGTGAGAAATTTTCTCCATTTTTATTTCGCTCATATTTTATTATCTGAAAATATTATAAGATTACTATATTAATTAATATTCAAAAATTAAACTTACTTTGTAATGAGATCAAATAGATAGATGATATTATTTTCATATGAATTAATTGGTATGCTTTGTGTCATTTTAGCATATAACTTTTTCGAGTGAATGAAAGTAAACTTAATTGAAGTAAACTGAATGAAGTTTGATAACCTTCATGTATCATAATTAATCTGGCATTTAATGACAGTTGCGCATCAATAAATGCAGCCGAATTGTGCATGATGCATTTTTTCAAGCATTTCTCAATATTATTTGCGTAATTATTCATTCATCAAAAAATCTTATTAATAAATTTGACTTATTAATAAGATTATTTATTTGAAAAAAAAAAGTTCAAAATTGAAATTGTCAGAATAGGATGTTTATATATCAAATTAGAAGTTTAATAGCAAAAAAAAAATTCTTAATCAAATATTTCAAACTACTACATTTTAATTTTTCATTTTTTCACTTTTCAAAAATAAAAACAAACAATAAAGATGGTAAAAGGAAGAAAAGAGGAAAAAAATTGCGTTTGAAATGTAAATAATTTTTTATTTTTGCTAAAATTTTTGAAATATTTGTATTATTTGAAGATCTGCTAATTATTTTGATTAATTTGCGTCGCAAATTTTGTTTTTTCAGGCATTTCGAACAGGTGGCCTATTAACCGGTCTTCTTCACTTAGCCACATTAGCAGTTTATCATTTGCTATCTATCACACATCCATTCGATCATGCTAAATTATTAAATAAGCATAAAACTCGATTGATCGTCATTCTAATTTGGTTTTTACCACCATCAATTCTTTTGATGTATTTTTCCGCTTGGCCTAATCAAGGATATCGGATTAAAGATTGTTCGGTTGTCGAATTTTATGATATGCTTTATTTTCGAATGATAATTTCAATTCTGATTGTTGCACTTATGTTATGTACCGGACTGATGTATTGGATGTTGCTTGAGAAGCTAAATGAAGTTCGTCAATGCTCAATTTATTCATTTAGGAAAATTTTTGCAAATCATAACTGAATTTTTTGTTTAACAACTTTTTCTTATTTGTTTGATATAATTCATTTAATGTTGTTCGAATTTCAAAATTCAATGCAAAAAACATCATTATTTTCCTAAAAATTCAAAGGCAATAAATTGTTGTAATCAATAATTTTCGCTAATTGGAAATGATTTAATTAGATAAATTAGATAATACATAATGATGTCAAAATTCTTTTCCTACTCTATTCATTCAGATGAGTGATAAAAATTTTGAAAAAATTTTCATTTCATAACCAATTAATGATTAGTTTCCTAAATTTTCGGATTTGAATTAATTTTAATCATTTCTGCAAATGTAATTAATTTCAAAAAGCTATGGAATAATTGCACATTTCTTTTAAGTCTTTTGCAAAATCTACCACAACAATACGTAAACGCCGTATAGTAACGGCGTCAGGCCTTATTTTCGGAACATTCGTCATAGGATGGTTACCGGCATCGTTACTTTATATACTTACTGCGCGAGGTATGCCACTTCATCATGTCAAAAGTATTTGGTTGAATATATTTGCTCTAACGACATTAATTTTAATTATGATTAAATCGATCACCAATCCTATCATTTATGCAACGAGGTGATATTTTGATATAAATTTTGAAATTTTCAAAAAATTTTTTAACTTTATTCTTTCTAATTCTAAACGGATAAGAAATTAAAATGGATAAGAAATTATAACGAAATTTTTTAAATAAGTTATGAAATAAACTTTTGCCATATTTTGGTAAATCCCTAAAATTATAGCAAACCAAAAGATTTCTCAGATTTCTAATTTTTTCAGCTTTTTTTCTTATTTCTTTTTCAATTTAAGTCATGATAAAATGAGCAGATGCGAAAGGAATTATAATTGAAAAGGAGAAAGTTTGAAAACTTCGAATTGTTTTGAAATTAATTTAATCATTAAGACTGTTGTAATTAGTAAGTTAAATTATTTAGTGGAAATAGATTTTTTCACATCATATTATTCATTCATAAAAATAATTTATCATTTTACAGAATTCCTGAAATTTGGCATTTAATTGATGAATGGCGAAATTATATCGGAATCAAGAAGGATAAGAGGAAAAATGATAAAAGAAACTGTCAAAAAGATGAAACATCATTTTGCAAAATTGGAATGATTAGAAGCGAAATGTCAAATTAGATTTAAAACAAAAGTCTAATCATGTAACAAATCGTGTATTTTGTGCAATATCGATAATTTATTTCAATCGACGAGTTACATTAAATTTTATTATTCCATTTTACTTACAAGAAAAGTGTGCCCGAATGATACAAATGGATTTTAATCGACAGAAGAGAGCGAGAATATTAATCATTACTGTAATTGGTTCTTCGAAATTATTTTGCTACTGAAAATGATACCGAGATCGTCCATCTCAAAAGACATTATGAAGATTTAGGCAGTGTGATCGGTATAAAAAATTTGCATATTTCAATGAATAAAAATATATCGCGTTTGCAAGTATAAATTATTGTATTTCAGCATTTTTGCGTAGCACAACAAAAAAGGATTAAATGTTATCAATTCAAATTTGAACTTTGCGTAATAAAGATTATTAGATTTAAAAATTAAAATATTCGACTTCTCTAAAAGCCTGTCCTAGCATTCCAAAAATTAAAAAATATACTGAAGGTTTCACTTCACCAAATTTTCCAAATTTAAACTTCAATTGTCTTTATAAAATAAGCTTTTTAATTGAAATTTCCCTGCTAGAAATATTAGCATTTGAAAATTACAACAAAAGCAATTGTAAAATAATTCAGTTTCCATTGTATTTTTTAGCAATTATGCAAGAAATTAATTTAATATTCATGCGTTGCAAAATGCTGAATGTATGTGCAAAGCATCAAAAACAATGCTTAAATTTAAAAAATGATTGCAGATGAAATGAGTTAATAAATGTTCAATAAATTTTCTTTTCAAAAAAGAAGCAAAAAAGAAAGAAAATGAAATGTAAAATAGTTAGTTTACAAAGTTATTTGTGGCTTATATATGCTGAGAATTTTACATACTTTGTCAAAAA